GTCGTGACATAAACACTTACGAACTCCTTCTTCTCCAAGGTCCTTAGGCATCCATTGAAGCTCTCTTTCACCAACACTTCTTGGATTAGTAAATTTCAACTCGTTTTCTTCATTTTACATCAATATCTATTGAATTCCTAAGCCTAAAACATGTAATTTAGGGTAGAAATTGGGGGAAATGGGTAGAGTTAGGGCTTTTTTACTTTTTCTTGATTTAGACCTCGTTTTGGGGTCGAATTTGAAAACAAATTATATATTCGGGCTCGTGGGTGAATGGGGGATATGAATTTCATATGAACCTCGTGTTTTGACCAAGCGGGCCCGGGGTCGATTTTTGGAATTTTGGGAAGAAAGATTGGAAATCTATAATTAGGCATTGGGTTTGATTTGTTTAGCATAAATTGATATTATGAAGTCACTATTGTATGGATTTGATTGAGTTGGAGCCGAATTCGAGAGGGAAAGCGGTTGTTGTGGATTGATTTGGCCGTGGAAGTTGAGGTAAGTGTTTGGTCTAACATTAGCTTGAGGGAATATGTGTTGAGTCTTATTGCTACTTGCTAATTGTCGAGTACGATGTATAGGCATGGTGACGAGTATCTATACATTGGTGTCTAGCATGACCGTGAGTCTTTATATTGCGAATATTTGATTTTGTTGCATCTCCCAAGCTTAATTGATGACTTCTATATGATATAAAGAGCATGTGAAAGAAATTGTGATCTATGAACTTCGAGGAGCATTGGCTCGAGTGTAATACGAGTTGTGAAAGTATATGAAACGGTTGAACACTTTGGAGCATTGGCTCAAGCGGTAAAGTGAGATATGAAATAAAAATGAAAGGAAGAGAAAGAGTATCTAAATTGCTCCCTTGCCGGGATATTGTTGCTTATTGATTATTTTCCCTTGCCGGGACGTTGAGATTATTTATGTTGTGTCCCCCTGCCGGCATTTCTATTATTATTTTGTTAGTCCCTTGCCCCTTGTTTGTGATTGTTTGTTTATTGTGAGGAAAGAGTGTAAAGCACGAAGGGTGATGCCGTGCATTGTTTGCTTATTGTGAGGAAATAGATTAAAGCACGAAGGGTGATGTCGTGCCGCACGATGTACCATTCCGTGCCGATTCTATTGATTATATGTGAGGAAAGAGAGTAAAAGTACGAAGGGTGATGCCGTGCACGTTTTATTATATCAATGTTTGGTAAGGATGAGAGTAAAAGCACGAAGGATGATGCCGTGCACTTGTTGCTTTCTGATTCTTTATTAATGTCTTAGTTGTGTTATTTCCTTCGTTACTGGACGCCTTTTTCTTGAAATTGTTATGTCCCCCATAGCATGTTCCCCCTCCCATATTGATTACTTGTCTTTGTATCTCGATTCTGCTGTATATGTATATATAACTGCACAGGTTTATGTGGTAGTCCGGTCTAGCCTCGTCACTACTTCGCCGGGGTTAGGCTAGGCACTTACCAGCACATGGGGTCGGTTGTGCTGATGCTACACTCTGTGTTCTTTTGCACAGATCCAGGTCTTGGACAGCAGCAGCAGTAGCGCGGGAGCCAGCCTTCAGTCCAGCGAGACACCGAGGTAGCCTTGCAGGCGTCCGCAGGCCCGCCGTCTCCTCTATCCTTTATTTTAGTCTGTTATCTCATTGTATTCGAGACAAGCAGTTATATTTTCTTTCTGACATTGTATTTAGTACTCTTAGTAGTTCGTGAGTATTGTGACACCAGTCTTAGGTAGAGGCTTATCTTGAATTTTCCGCATTTCTATTCAGTTTTCTTTAATCTAAGACTTCCGCTTATTTAGTTAATTCCGTTGCTTTTATATTATTGCCGATAATTGTTAAAAGGAATTATGTTGTTAATGAAAAAGTAATTAAAACTTGGCTTGCGTAGCTCCCATTAGTAGGCGTCATCACGACTCCCGTGGGTGGGAAATCCGGGTCGTGACAGATAGTAAGAAACCAAATAGGAAACATAGAGGTGAACTCCTTGAAGAACACAAGTGTGAAAATAGCATGCAAAGCCGATAATATAGTTGAAAACCAAGGTAGAGAGCATGTACATGCCTAACGAACGAGTAATCATAACAGAAATCCAACTTCCTTTCTTTTCGCATGGTAACACCAATAAACCAATCTTATTTCAAACCGTACGAAACTCATTGTGCCAACATCGTATCAACCGCACGAAAATATCCAACGTGTCAAACATTGTCTTAAGACCTCAATCATCATCTCTAGTTATGGATAAAGAAACTCAAGTAACATGACAATAAAAGGTGTAGAAATGGGTTCATGATACTACGATCAAGCTAAGTATGTAAACTAGTCTAAAAAACGGCGCGTTAAATCCTTTTATGATGTCATACGTCCTAACGAGATCTCTAACACAGATAATTAATGTCATCAATCATAGAATCAAGTGAAGCATAAATCGAGGGATCACCAAGTTCCACAAAAAACAAAGAAGCATATTATTCCCTCCTCCAGTGGATGGAGACCTTGTCACATCCATATACACTCACCACCTCGTATATGCATCACCCCCGTATGTAGTAAACAATATTATTTAGTAGGAAAGATTTCCTCAACAATTTTAGGCAACCTCTTATATGCATCACCCCGCATCTTAGTTTACTCGTCTAGTTGTTATCATGGCAATAGAACACATCAAAGCAAAGCGGGTATGAACATTGGATAAGAAATCAAAAAAGAAGATCAAAGGGTAGTAGTGCACCTGGATCCGCTTCTGACGATGTAACACAATAAAATTATTTTTCCCAACCCAAACGACCAAATGGACTATACTATGTTATATTAAAATAATCGTATAAATAATCACATATAAATACAGTAGTACATCAAAATTTGTGTTGTTTCCGGTCCAAACGACCAAATGCATTACAACATGTCAAATCTTGGCTTTTATTTGAAGACATATAACTAAGATGTACTAAAAGAGCCATGTTTTTAGTTTGGAAGTGTAAAAAATATTTTCAAAGGGGTCACATCTCACATGCCTAAGGTCCAATAGCATAAGAAAAAGATATATAGTAGTATCTAATGTATTATGTCCCATGTGCAGACACCCTCAACTCCAGCCAAGGGCAACCCCTGATGACACGTGGACATGTACACTTGGCCTATGATAAAAAGTCATGATCCACTTCACGTGAAGTCCCCTCTCCTTTTGTTTTCTTGGCACACAATGGAGGGGACCTCTCTCTTTATTTCTTATCCATAGCAGAAATTGGCACCAAACTAATCAAAGGTACAATTTTCTATCATTGGATTAGAAATTAACTCTCCTCCTTTGGAGGAGGAAGTGCATGATGAATGTCTCTTAGCATTGTACTACACACATTATTAAATTTTATGTCACGGATTTAGATTGTCACTTTCAAAATTAATAAGGTAGTTGAAGCTTGCATAGGTTGAAGTAGGTGTCATATTTTTCATCATATATAATAATGATTGCAATCATCATTTGATGACTGCAAATTTGATTATTTTTGTCTCATATTGCTTTTGTTGATTTAATTAGATATGGTTTGTAAATAGAAACTCTGTAAAGTTCACCTAAACAAATTGTTAAGAAAAATATTTATCGCACATAATATTTACACTAATCTAATAATTATAAGATAATTATATTATCTATATATTATCATGATTGAAAGAGTTCAACAGATTTTGATTTGTCTGACATTAGTTCTTTAGATAAAAACACAATCCCAAAATCCTATTCATAGATCAAATGGCTCTTGAACCACTACTCATAGTAAAAAAATAAATTTAATGATATTTTTGTTGAAGATATAATTAAGTAAATAAAAGTGTGCTCTCTCTAACAGCTTAAGCTTTTAGATGAGATGGTCATATAATTCAGCATGGTATTAGAGCAGGCAAAGGTCCTGGGTTCAAGCCTCATTGCCACCCAATATAATAAAAAAAAAAAATCATGTGCTTGTCTCATAAAAAAAGAATGAAGCCCTGATTCAACAATTTTAACTTAAAACTTTTTTTTTCCATTTCCTTGAAAGCTCGGACTACAAATATACTTTTGTTAAAAACGCATTTATGCAATTACCAAAGATATAAAGTACTTTCAGTAATCATGTTTTTCCCGAGGAAATAATTTCATATGATCATTTACATTTTGAGTAAAAGAAAATAATCTTAAAAAGATCTTCCTACGTTTTATTATTTATCAATCACTTGCCTTAAACATATTTTTTTCCTCTCTTGTTGGCCATTCTAATTTCTTAGTAAAATAATAAAGTGTTAGTGGCAAAGGTTAATGGGTACTTCAATAATTAAGTGGAAAGAAATATTTCATCGGGTATTCCTTGATCACATGAATTCTATGCATGTAAAGTTACCTTCATTTTTTCTACAAAAGTGATGAAACAATTTTCCTTTTTCTTTCCCTTTTGACATCCAAGTCTAATATTGCATCATGAAATCCTTGCCAATTTTGGTCATAGTTGTATGTATGTTCACTCCAAAGAGAAACAAAATTCCCCACACGAAGAATAAGGAAGTGAAAGAAGGAGAATTTCTATTATTATTATAGAATATTTCTCCCTAGATAGAATTTTTTCTTTCTTGGTTCATTTGACAAAAAGACCCACATCCGAGTTTTATACTTAAGGTTCTTTAAGTTAAACATTCAACTCAAAACTTAAGAGCCTGGTTGTGAATATATATATATATATATATAACCAAAATTATAGTAGAATTGAGGGGGACTTCACCTTACCTCCTTGTTATCTACTGGATTTATTTTCAGGAGTATCCTATTAAAAAAGGAACCTTTCCTCTCCCCGCTCATTAGCTTAGGTGCCGAAAAAGTGATCGCCGGATAGTTCATTTAAACTATATATTCCATTTGTATTTAATTTTTAATGCTCGAAAATTCCGTAATATATATAATAATAGATTAAGAAATGCAATTTTTATATTCAGCCAATTCCAAAAGCATTACAAAATAAAGGGATCGAAAGAAGATACGAAATTACTTTATTCCACAGCCATACTTGGGAACTATTTCTTGAACCCTAAAAACTTAAAATAACCAAATGAACGCAAACTATATATATAGGAGTCACTTAAATCATTTCACTCACCAACAATGGAATCTAGGACTCATGGCAACCAAATCAAAGCACACGGGAAGAAACCAACCCTATCCCAAGAAGCAAGACAAAAACAAACCCTAGCTAGCTTTCCTATACAAAGATGACATCTAATAAACAAGGATTAATTCAAACATCTCTAACATGGAAAACATTAGGGTTTTTAACGACGATATCGTACATGTGAATGGAGTTGAACTTGGCAAAATCCTTAGGAAGTGAAATTAAGTCGATGGAAGAATGCTTGTGGAATTGGAAGAGTTCAGGGTCACCTCCATAATACCTTTCCCATCCCAAACCATTGAGAATTCTTTCAAGAGAACAATATGATGAAACCACTTGCCCTGTTGGTAAGTGTACCAAAACCTTTCTTCTTCTTTGACCTTGCTCTGATGATGGATTTTCTACCAAACGGAAAACCCCATTCTTGAACACCCAAACTCCAGACATTTTTTTTATAATGAGTTATATGGAAGAAGTTAGAACTGGCTAGGTTTTCTTGAACAGTATAGGAGAAGAAAGAAATGGATTTGAGTTATTTGAAAGGGAGAAAGATTTGAAGGGTATTTATATAACTGACGGGGTAGATAAAACAAGGGGAAAATACTCTCTGGAGTGGGATGAAAAGATAGGTGATGATAGGCTTGTTTAGCTTTAGTGTAGAATCTAGATATTGTGGGACCTTTTTTGTTAAAATTCCAAGAGACAAAGACACCATGGGTATGATTTAGAGCCCACGTACTATCCCCACATTAGCTATGTGGTTGGAGGGGTGGAGAATCAAGGGTTAAGAATAGAATCTTGTTTGGTGTGAAACTCCTTTTAGTTAATTAAGAGTTTAAGTTGTATACATAAACGGTAAAATAATTACATAATTAAGTTATTTGAAAGATAATTATATGTATTCTTTGATAATTTTAGTTTGTAATTTAGAAAAGGTGCTAGTTAGTCTGTTATAACAAATTAAAAATTATACGGATAGGTTCGCATATATAACCTAATTTTTTTTTTTTTTTACTACTTTTTCCTATGTATTCTCAAATATGAGTAATAAGTTTGAGCTACTTTATTCGTTTGGAGGAACGTTTTTCTTTTTTTCAAAAGTAGAAAGCACAAGGGAATCTTGGCTAGCATTGGGTCATGGTGGCGCATTACATATGGATTTAATTGTTAATCTTTATATTTGTAAATTAACCATTTGATAAAATCAAATGAATAGTGCCCACTTTATCACGTGTGGTACACGTGAAGATATTATTATTATAAAGATAGAGAGAGATATTAGGAAAAGCAAGCTTTGAGATTATGACTACTCATCATTGGGAATTATCAAACCTAGTTACGAACAAATATTTTTTCTGTATGTTTCCATCAGTTTTTGATGTATTAGTCGGACATAATCACGAGAGGCCTCAATTCTTTTTAGGGGCTCAACAAATTTAGGGGCTTAAAGCGCAAACTTCTACGAGAGGCCTCAGTTCTTTTTAAGGATATTTATACGATTAATCGGACATAATTACTATTTACTTTACCAACTAGTATATGTAAATTATATGTTGGTTATATGCGTTTATACATATTATTATATATGAATTATATATCGATCGGCTATTTAGATTAGTTTTTTCTTTTTTGAGAAACAAATCCTATAAAGTCTTATTTAAAATTTATTTTCTAGCTTTTTGATATACAAGGTTAATAAAAAATCATAATCAACTTCTCCAAATAATTCTTTTCAATCTTGAAAATATATGTAACTCATTTAATCTCTCTCGATACATTGTTTCTCTAGGTAAAAGTTTAATGATTTTAATTATAAAAAAAATTCCACTAAAGCAATTATTATAGGAACTATTAATATTATTCGCTAAGCAATATATACAGGTATTTGAAGAAAACAATCCTTTTTTTCAAGGCTAATAATGTATCTTTTAAGAAATATTAACAAATACAAATACTACTAACTATTAAGAAATTTGGTGGCCCTACAAATTGTGGGGCCTAAAGCAATTGTTTTACCTGTTTTACCCATTAGTCGTCCCTGGATAGACTTAGGATTTTATCCTGCAATATTTGTATTATTTGAACTCAACTTGTTAGTTTAATTATTCTTGAAATCTGAATTGGGTTCCCTTCAAAATTACTCTTAGATTTCCAAGTTTTTCTCTTGCCACTCGATTTGATGTCACTGGAAGAACAAAAATTTGCCATATTCCATAACCAAGATTTTGTTCAGTTTGTTCTTTTCAATTCTAAGAAAAGGAACTAAGTTTTCTTCATCACAAGAAAAGGAACCCGTACTTAAACTCAGTCGTCGGAAATATTTTGATTTTCAAAAACTTATTAGCAATCATAAAAATTGATCCTCGGATTGACAAGAATAGTCTTTTGCATTTTGGATTTTTTAGCTTCTGATATTTTGCCGACGTCTTTCCGCATTACTATTTACATTAGCAAGAACTTCGATTACTGTTTATTATTTTATCTTGAATCTTTGCTTGCTTGTTTTTGTGACTGCTAGTTGTAGAATTTATTCCCTTTAGTTAGTGTAGTTTAAGCCGTTGCCTGTTTTACTGCCTTTTAGTTGAAGATTATATTTTGGTGATTTCTTTTATTTGTAAATCCGTAGCGTGTTTTGGGGTAGTGCTTGTGTAGTGTCCCTTAGATTATAGTAGCTTTGGTGAACAATGATAGAGTAAGGTCTTGGGGGAGGGGGGG